CGGGTTCGTGGCCCCTATCAGGTTCCTTTTTTTCGGAGGTGCGGCCAAGGACTTTGTTCAGGTCAAGCTATTGGTGAATTCCAATTTGTGCAGCCTGGTTTTCCCAAGCTATTGGGACATTCGAATTCGTGGGGCTTGGTCTTCTCTCAAGCTATTCGTGAATTCCAATTTGTGCAGCCTGGTTTTCCCAAGCTATTGGGGCATTCGAATTCGTGGGGCCTGGTCTTCTCTCACACTATTACTGAATTCCCATTTATGGGGTTTATTTCTTTCGTTCGCTCTTTCGTTTTATCTCTCTTTCTCTCTTTCTGTATTTATTGGGCTTTGGGTTTAGGGTTGTGTTACTACTTGATGACAACAAGCGCACCTGCCGCTTGTGGATACGGCTTTCCTTCTGCCTTCCTGTCTGTATCTCGTTCATTTGCTGTGTCGTTCATTTGTTATAGCTTTACTTTTTCTGTATGTCTTTCTGTCATTAGTTATGGCTTTGTTGCGTTCTTTCTTTCTTTATTTCTTTCTTTATTTCTTTCTCTCGTTCTTTGCTGCGCTCTTCCTCTCTTTGTTTATTTCTTTCGTTCGCTCTTTCGTTTTTCCTCTCTTTCTCTCTTTCTTTATTTATTTATGGCTCTCTTTCTTTCTTTCGTTCTTTCCGTCTTTCGTTCTTTCTGTCTCCGCTCCTTTCCCTTGTGTTTCCATGCTTAATAATAGCTTTGTTTTGTGTTTGATGCGTATTTTTGCATTTTTTGTTTTTGTTAATGCATTTCTGTTGTTGCTGCCTCTCCCACCAGAGGGCCAGGGAACCAGAGGACCAGGGAACCAGGAACCCCAGAGGCCCCTAGCCCTTGATTGAGCTTTTTTTTTTGATCCTATTTTATTTTTGATTGATCCTTTTTTATTCTGTTCTTGATCCTTTTTGATTTTTTTTGATCCCCATCCCCAAAAACAGCGGGTCTACCCTTGAAAGGAAATCGGTGTACCGTTGTCTTGAGCGTAGGAAAGCCGTGGAGCTCGATACAAGCACAGGCCGTATTACAAACGTTGCGCCTCTTGCATTACTCTGATAACGGAGCCGCGAGGCCCCGTCAGCCGGTCCCCAGCAACCTTTCAGCTGGCGTTTGGCGAAAAGGAACGGGATGCCACAATCGCTTGAGCTTGCAGTGCAGTGATTGTGCGTGTCCGCTGCACTAGCTTCTGCGAGTGTGCTAGCCCACTCTCTTTGACAAACCGCGAGCATACGAAAGCTCGGCTGACACTTCTCCAATTGGAGGCTGGGGGCTGAACTGGGATCACATGGAAGCCAAACAATGACGGAAAGCTTTGACAAAAACCCGATGGTCAAAATTAGGCTCGGGGGACCGCTCGTAATCCTGTCCGACAGCTATGATCGTCAGGGGGCCATACCAAGCCGCGCTGTGCAGGCAGAGAGGCCTGCCAAATCGAGTGACAAGACTTGAGGCTTCTGTCCTTGGGGTGCTTGCGAGCTGGGCGCACTATTGTGCAGTGTTCTTGCTTTAGGGTGGTTTGGCAGCATGGCGAAAATAGGCAAATCTCAACTTGAACCGCCAAGAAGACTTGGACTTGCAGCCTTCGCCCCGAGAGATCAAGTTGAAATTGTGAGTTCTGGGTGCCCCGAAGTAGCAGTTCCGAACCGAAGAAGAAGGCCCAATGAAAAAGAACATGCACTCTACCTCTTTCCTCAGGCTGCCAACAGCAACCATCCAAGCATCCGGACCTGTTTTAGGCTGTTGGAGCCTGGCCCACTGCTGGTGTGAAAAGTCTCAAACCAAAGCTGTGCCATCCGTTCCCAAGTGGAGCAGACAGCTGCCAGCACGGGCCAACCGACTTTTCATCGGCTATTGGCCATGGCAACCTTGCGCACCGGAGATTTGATGGTGGTAGCTGAACATGCGTCAGCTTCTGCCTTCAACCGGCGACAGAGTTGCTAAAATAATTTGCGGCTAGATTGAGACCCGAACATGAACGGAAGAATCTGCACATGTGCAGGAGAACGGGCAGAGGTGAAAGCAACCGGCTTCGTAACAGAACACAAAGCTGGATACGGTAGCTCTGCATTTGTGCTCACCTTTGCGCCGCCAGACCGCACAAACTCCTGGTCATGTCCTGCTATTGGTGACTGATGCTGCAAATCTGCAGTCTGCGGGTGATACAAGGATCGGTCACAAGCACGGGTCAGTAATTGCTTTCTGCGCGACGGCTCAGAAGGCATTGTAGCCATACCTTGCATCGCTGTTCGGCAGACGCCCAGCAGCTTTGTAGCGAGTTTGCGGAACTCTTCGTGTCTGTTCGGCCCATGATCTTGAACCAGGCAGAGTGAACTCCAAGGTAGCCAAGCCACACAGCTTGCAGGTCTTGCTGGACGCTCCGCTGCACCTCCCGAGGACGTGCAATCCCTTTGTGACCAAGGCTTCAGACAAGGCCAACGGGCCAACGGCCTACAGCAACTTCTTGGGTGGTTAACACAGTTCTCGTCAAAGGACTTCGGAGCACCGTGTTGCCTGGAATGGAAAAACATGACGGTGTCTAAAGGTGTGCAATGCACCAGAAACCCCCCCGAACCAGATGCCATCCCAACAATACTGCAACATGGAAGTCGGAAACTCTGAAGTCATTCAAGACATCCGCATACGGTGCACAAATAGGCACTGAATTCTGCAACATACAAACAGAAAGAGAGGTAGACCTTTCTCGAAAGGTGGCTTTCGGAAGACTCCAGAACATGGATTAATTTTCCTTCGGTGCGGTGTCCTGGCCCACAGTATGACAAGTCTTTTGGACACGGTTTCGACAAAATGCTACGTGAGTAGCTGCCGAGGGGTTCAAGACATCACGCTGCTCCAGTCGCTTCATGTTGGACCGAGAGTGCCAGCATGTATTCAAGGTGTTTAGAACGAAACTACGAACTACCATTTGCCTAAGATTACACATGAACGCAGGCAGCCGGCCTCGGGTGACAGCGTCGGAGCCCAATGCAGATCCTGCTTCCGCGTGCTGGGGTGCAGCAGGAATGCTGTCCACTACTTCGTTCGGGATACAGGTTCAACATCGTGATCCAGCATCTGCAAAGCATGTCTGCTTTCCCGAGACCCCAACGTGAAATGCAGACGACGAATCAGTCAGACTAGAAGCTCCTGGTCAACAATCAAGAGACACCTTCAACAAGCAAGATGGTGCCATACAGATAGACTCGACGTCACAAGCACAAGCACAAATCAAGAGAGTTCCATCGACCCGCTCAGGGTTTCGGGAGTCCTCCGGCGGCGGCGCCGAGCCCGCCTCCACATCGAAAGCCTGGAGAAAACGGAGGACAAGCTCCTTTGGGGGCTCCCTTGGGGCTCCCTAAACCCTAAACCCCAAACCCTAAACCCTAAGCCCTAACCCCTCCTTGTTGGGGCTCCCCAAAAAGGGGGACCCTTTGTTTGGCTTAGGCTTTGCTGCTCCCAGTCCTGAGATGCTTCCGAGGGCAGCTTCAACTCCGAAAGGTCCTGGCAGGGAGGCTTCGGAAAAAAGAGTGGCCAAAAGGAAGGAAATCTGATGAATTTGAGGGTTTAGGGTTTAGGGGTTTAGGGGTGCTACGGAAATCCCATCCTAAGCCCTGAGAAGTCCAGAACTTTGCTCGGAATTTTCTCCGCTAGCGGGGAGGGTCTCGAAGCCCCCGACCGAGGCGCCCAAACCGGCGAGCTACTCATACTCCATCCAACCTTGGCCGGGTTCTAACCTCCAGCTCTTCGCCGAAACCCCTAGCGACATGCAACGGCTGCAACGAGGTCCTTCACGATGTATTCGCCAGTCAGAGCCCGCAGCTCCTGTCCAACGCAAAACTACGGTTCAACAGTCAAGAAGGTCAAGAAGTCTGAAAACTTGGGTCTGCACGAGATACTTACGACATTGAACCGATTCCATCGTATGCTCAACTTTTCCAGTGATCCAACCACAAGCGGACACCCCCCTAACATGTTCACTACAGCTTGTGTTCAGCCCGACCCGCCCACCAGTGAGTTGTAAGCAAGACCCTCACCCGGCGCATGCTTCCGGAATTTTTGCTCCTGTTCCTTGCACTCCTCCGGTACTACAACATCAGAATACAGTAACGCCCCTCTGCCCTTGGCTGCGCCTTCAAGGCCAGGTACCTGGACCAGACCTTCTGCATCCAGGTCACAAAGGCCTGGCTTCAGCAAACGCCGACGCTCTGGTGGTGGTGGTGGTGGTGGTGGCGGTGGCGGTGGTGGTGGCGGTGGTGGCGGTGGTGGCGGTGGTGGTGGTGGCGGTGGTGGCGGTGGCGGCGGTGGTGCTGGTGGTGGTGGCGGTGGCGGTGCTGCTGCTGTTGCTGCTGCTGTTTCTGCAACTGGTAGTATGACGATGATACAGTTGGTAGTTCTGTCGCTCATGTGCCCAGCAGTATCACCTCTGCCGAGGACAGCTTGTCGACGATTATGACGGCTAATGTTTCTATTCGTGAGAACCCGCTAGAGGAAGACATGATGGTTGCATTGTGGTTGGCAGAGTGCATCTGTCTGTGTGTGTGTGTGCGCGTGTGTGTGTGTGTGTGTGTGTTTTTTTCTTGAATTTCTCCCTGCCCCAGTATCGGTTCGAGCCACGGCCATGGCAAAGAAGAAGCCGATAAGCGCGAAGAGGACGACGATGGCGATGATCTGTATGCACACACAGACTTGAGGGCTGTTCGGAGGGCCCGTATGGGGCCGAGAATTGTCAAACTTGTTACCTTTGAAGTCAACCTCAAGCCAGGATGTATTTGGGCTGTACATGTCTCCCACATTGAGCTCACTGCTGGATCTACGGACAAGCCTGTGCACCCAGAACACTGCTTCCACTTAGCCCTGGCAGACTCTGAAAACTTGCTGAGGCCTCTGTCTTACGAATTGTGTCGAGCCACGATGACAGCCACCACAGCGCCACAGCTATTGTTGTTGTCGCCACCACCGCCTGAAGAATTTGGCAGAATGCCCAAAGCCCGGTACCCTCAAACCAACCCTTGGCTTTCCGGGGACTCTCATGAAGAATGGTCGAAGCTGTGTAGACTACGCTGCACACGGCCTCCCGATGAAGTCGGAAGGTTGGGAGTTGGACAGTCGTTGCAGCTGTCGCAGCAAGGCCTGTGCAGGGCGATGCGCGGCTTCGAAACGTATACGACACTAATCAATCTGGGCCTGTCCTTGTGCTTTGCTCTACTATGCGAAGCTGCAGCCGATTTACAGCATTTGCAGATGACATGGCTTTCCATGACGCTCCAAGATGTTCAAACCAGAGCGCCACGCCTGCCCTGACAGTGAAGGCAACATTCACAGCCTTGAAAAGAGAGTACATCAGAACAGAAGTGGAATCAAGGACTATTTGTGCAGCTTGGGCACAATCCTCGCAAGCCCGCATCCTGAGTTGCAGAGCCCTGTAAGTCAGTACAGGCCCGATGCCGTGACACCGGCTGGATTGTGCTATTGAGGGCTCTGTACACAAAGGTCAGAACCAACTAGCACTGTGACGGCTAGCACTGACATGGCCGTAGCGAAAGTAGCAGTGCAAGCATTCCTTGTTTATGTCAATTAGAATCTACGATGATGTGAGACGCTGCCAAGCATCTGGTAATACGTAGTGATGGGATGCTGCGTCTGCAGTGCCTGCATTGGTCCTTGTCACAGCCCGCGCCAGCAGACGAACGAGCAAAATGCACCGTCCTTTTCATACTCGCTTCCAGAAACTCAACCTGTGACCCCTATTTCAAAACAACACCCTAAAGACCCAGCAAGTCTAGTTTGGGACGAAGCCACCATCGGTCACTGTGCTGGGCTTGCACAGGTTGCAGCATGCCATGATGCTGACCACCTCACGCAGCGCCAGGACGTATTCTCAAAAACATGTTGTGAAGTCCATAAGCCGATTTGGGAAGAAGATGCGACCCTACGTGGCGATGATAATCGTACCGTCGTCCCGGGATCCTTCCGAATTCCAGACTTGTTTTCGACACGATGTTGGAGTGGGTCCCTCGGCCTGTCCAGTGCCACCCCGATGGCAGCACTGTAAACAGCCCTTGCGCCTCCTCTGCATGAGCCGTGTGGCTCGAAAGACACGCCCCTGCTGACCCTCAAGAGCCTTCTCGACAAGATTTGTCGAAAAGGCTCCGGAGGCTCATCGGTGGCATGACTTTCAAGCCGCGGCTCACGCTAAGCTCAGGTCGGCGCACCGACGCCCGTCTCGTCGGCCTTCTTCACGAACCAGCCGTGTCGAAGCAAAACGGACTCGGACTCCTTGGCACGATGTGAAGTTACACTCGTTGGCATCGTCATCGACCACCTCCTTGCACCGATAATTGAGGTCCGATATGCCAAAGGAGCATATCCCGTGAATTTGGCATTGGCGAACACGAAAGAGACAGATGAGAATGCTAAAAATAATGCTTCTCCGTTCAGGCCCGCTTGCAATGTGTCCAAGGCACAGGCACAGGAGAGAACTTCCTTCTCTGAGTCCGTGCCATCGCGACTTCGTGTGTCTTCGCTGGTGATGAAGAGCCTTCTGCAGGTTCTTCTGCATGATACCCGAGGGGCCGCAGTTGAACGGTGCGGCTGTCTCGTTGCTAAGGCCACGACACTACAACGAAAGAGCAAACAGAAAGGGCATCTCCAACCCAGCGACATAGTCTGAAGATAGGTTCGGAGGCCTTCCGAAAATCCGGAAAACCGCGTCAATCCCGAAAAATCCCGAATCAAGAACACTAAATCCTCACAAGCCCCGAATGTGGAATGGCAGCACAGTCACCACACCGACTGTGGCAAGCGAGAGGACCAGCGATGCCTCGGCTTCAGCACCAGGAATGCCACAAGCGCTTTCGAGACAGGTTGGTCCTGACTGGTAAATTTGCCGCTTCAGGGTTTGCTGTGGAATTGGGATTCTACCAGAGAGCAAGGCAGGACCTCAGGAACGCAGGTACCCGACTAGTCAAGTCCATACACCACGCACGGGTACCAACAGGAGAGCAAGTTGGCCGACCACCTCAAACAGCTGCTTCTGCCCTTCTGCCCATCCTGTCGAAACCTGCGTCCCCAACAAAATCTGAAACTGCAAGGCCAGCAGGCAAAGTAGTAGGTGGATTTGTGAAAACGGAAGGTGTCCAGGTAGCTGCGGGCATCCTGGACCAGGGTAGCTGGCATCTAAACACCATGGGAAACATTCTGTCCATGAAAGAACCAAACCATCACAAAAAGACTGTTTCCTGGCATCTCGCACCCGGGTGATTACGTCGAAAGCATGACGGCCTCGTCCGGGAGCAGCGGTGTGAAGAACGGCATAAGGCGCACAAGCTCCGAACTCGGGTCGCAAAGCCTGCGCGAAGAGTGCTTTTTGCTCTTCAGGGGTCGAGTCTGGAACACAGGCACCGCAAACCGCCGGGGCGGTCTCGACACACGCGAAAAAAAAGCTTGGCCCCCGAGGCACATGCGTTATCGGAAGCGAGGTTCACCCTTCGACATGCCAAATGTGCGCCGCGTCTCTGGCCACCCTGGCCTGGCCTGATCAGAAACGCGACCAGGCAAAGCAGAACCTGCATGCAAGGGAAAATTCTGGGTGCAGAATTAAAGTAAGGAGCCGAGGACAGGTGTGAAAAGCTGACCAAGGTGACCAAACACCCAGTCCAAAGACCTGCACCAGAACTGCCCCGAGGAAGAACTGGCCGACCTTTGCGCAGCGTGTGCAGTCTCCGAGCATTCCCTGGTCCCGACAAACTTCCAAAATCACTAAACCCCCAAAGGTCTAAGTCGCACCTTCAGGCAGTTCCCTAGTCTCTTCTAGGCTATCCGGGAATAACCATCAAAATCCTGCCAAATGAAAGACATCAAGCCCAAACCCTAAGACCTGAAACAGGTCGGGATTCCGCTCTTCGCAGGATGGCACGACGCCGCTCGCGGATGTGCCTCGGACGGCGTGAAATCAAGCCTATCACAGTACTGCTGCCACTGCACTGCTTCGTCTTACTGCTACAGTACCACGAACTCTTGAGGACGTCGAGAAGTCCAGGTTCCAAGGTCTACGGTGGCCACTTCGCCAGGGGACAACTAAATCAGAGGAGTTCCGACGCTTCAGACTCCAGGCGTGAGTCCGCCGTTGCTGTGATCACGCTAGGATTGCCATTGCTCTCCTTCCACCACCACTGCCGCCTTCAAGGCTGCAGGCTGCACTGCGGCTACTTGCGGCTACTTCTGTGATAACACTCCTGCTATCTCCTGCTAGTGCCCTGGCTGCTGCTGTTGCTGCTGCTGTTGCTGCTGCTGGTGCAGCTTCTGCTGCTAACAGTCGTATATGAAATCGCACGGCCAGGAATAAGCTAGACATGCCTACGTCGGATTGAAACACAAAGGAGTGAAATGGGACGCCGGCAACCCTTCCCCCAATGTATGCAACATGCAAAGCTTGCGTTCTCCTTGCGGTCTCGGGAACTGCTCTGTCTCTGTAGGCGCTCTCTTCAGTTCCATGAGATATGCCTCGTTTCGGAGCTGGAAATTCGCGCCACAGAGATGCAGGTATGAAACTACCGATTACAAATGCGTTAGAATTCTGCATCCGGCTGGGTCGGGCCTTGCTTCCGATGTGCAACAAGTCTGGCCACGAGAAGGTCAACCGCGAAATGCCAGCTCTCTTGCTTGCTGCCAGCACAGGATGCTGAGACGTGAAAGCACTCGCGAGACACGGTCAATCAAAGAGAGCGCAATCCACAGGCAGCTTGTGGTAGGTGTTTCCATTTATCCATGTTTGAAGGTTTTAGCTGCAGCTGTGTCGCGAAGTGGCAGGTAGGGCAGTGTGTGAAGCCTCGGCTGCTGGAACAAAATACTGAATGATGAAAATTATCCGTACCGGTCGTCGAATTGCGGTCGTAAGCCGGTCAGCGGCTGCAGATACAGTTGCCGTTTGGACTGAAGGGGCACAAAGCATGCAGCACCGACCATGCCAAGCAGCTTCTGGCGCCGCGGCCTTCGGACCGCCACTTGTCGAGACAGCGGCGGTGTACCCATTTGGAGTGGCCTCTGCAGACACGAGTATTACTCGCGCAGCCATCACAATCTGCGACTTCAGCAAACAATTTCATCGCACGTTCCATCGAGGGCTCTGAGCACCACGGAAGAACTGTCTGTTGCGGTGCCAGCGGACTCTGCTCACCCGTACGAACGTTACATGCTCCGGCCTTTGCACATGCAGGGCGCGATCAAGTCATCGCCACCTCAAGTCCGAACGCAGAACACAGGAAACTGCTGCTATGGAGGGTGCCAGAAAGCTCCGCCTCGAAGCTCCGATGTGTTTCTTGCTGCAGAGTCGGCCAGGGACTCGGGTTTTCACGCAAGCTTCGATGTTGTGATTCATCGCAATTTTTAAAGTAGGCTGAAGGGTAGCCTAGGCCTAGGCCAGATTGCCATTTGCTGCTTTGCCTCACCCGTCCCCGCTGAAACTTCGTCTCGACTCCTCCAGCAACACTCTGCTCCGGCCCAGCCACCCGTCTCCAGGCAGAACCGGCACTGCGCCTCCGGGCCAAGGAGTGCATTCCCGACAGCTCGAGGTCGGAAGCTGACAACAGAATCAATCCCCAAGGAAAGAGCCTCCTCTTCTACAACTTGAGGAGTATCATTTCTTGGGCGAGCTGTACGCTTGGGGCTGTCAAAAAGGGGCTGCATAGGCCACGCTCGAGCGTGGCAAAGGCTTTTGAGCTCTCTCCCTCCTCTCGCTCCCACCTTATCACGGCTGGGCTCCTGGTCGCCTGTGTCCTGCGGGGCGTGTCTTTGGGAATCTGGCCACTGGTGGGGTCGCAGGGAATGTGGCCTTGTCATCGGCTGTCAGATGCAAGAACACAGCCCCCAGCGGGATGAGAGAAAGAAGCGCAACCAGTGACCAGGCTCCTGGGGCGGTGCGACCAGCACCTCTCGAGCATTGCCGTCTGCGGCGAGCCTTAGAAGGCGACAGTGGCAGATTCCAAGTTGAGCCTTGGTCCCAGGGGCCATCGCTCAAACCGGAACCGAGGCAGCGGCATGGCCGAGTCGCCGTCCAGATGCACCCTCAGAGAGGCTTTCCTCTTCCCGCTTGGGTCTCGAACGTCTTGGGATCCCAAACGGCGACGGTTCGCAGGGCCAAATGGATGCGCAGGACAGGCTTTAGCAACTGAACGGGCAGCCTTCAACATCCAGATTTGGCCCAAGCCTTCCAACAGCCCCACATCTCAGATGCAGTGTGGCCTTGGCGCAGGGCTTGGGCGACGAGGGCCTCCCCAACCGCCTTAGGAAAGCTGCAAAGATCTCTAGGCTACTTGGGGTGTAAGACCCAGGATCATGCAAGGAACTTGCACACACCACAGTTATTAAGCTCAAGCACGACGTCAAACTCCAAGCTTATTCCGACGTTGAGACCTAAAGCTGATGAATCTGAACATTCGTCACCCCAAACTCCGTCTTCGTGCCGGGTGCAGGGCCTTGGATGCTGCATAGCCATGCCTCGCGTCTTTGAGGACCTCGCAAGTCCGAGATCTTTCCCAAGCCCCCTGAGCCAGCATGGATCCTTGGGCAAGGGCTTCCCTCGCGCCTCCTCCACCGGATCTACGGCGCAAGCATCCGCCTACGTGGCTTAAGTGCACTGCAGAAGGGGACAGGGGAGCCTCGAAGCTTTCTAGAAGGCATTCCAAGCTAGCTGGAGCCAACCGCTCGGCCGCAATCAAACCAGACACAGACAGTCTTCATCAGTCTTCGCACGGGATGGCACGAGCCTGGAGCAAAGCATTCCAGGGTACTTACAGGAGATCGAAGCGGACCACTACCAGGGCGGCCTGGGCCTTGTCCTTGTAAACATCCGTTGTGGAAATGAAGAGGACTCTCGCGCCAACCTGTGGAAGCTTGGCAAGAGGCCCGGTGCGGCCCTTCAGCTGCACCCCCCGCTGCTGCAATCCCAATCTGAATACAAGGGACTTTCTTGCTGCCTCCAAACAGCGTCACAAGTCAAGCCAACCCGGCCGTCGCCGCATAGCTCAGCACGTTGAAGGTACCAAGCACCTGAGATGGATTCCAACCGTGAGAATCAGCCGCGACTAGCCATGGGCTTGCCTACAAGTGTCGAAATTTCCACCTGACACCATTCCTTGATAAGATCTGCTCCCATCCAACTATGGTCACGACTAAGACCCTGAACAGCGGCGAGCGGCATTTGCAGTTCTGTGGGCCGCATAAGGTGCCTTCAGATCTACCTGCCGCGCATCTTGTGTCTTTGGCAATTCAAAGGACAACCTGTATGGCCTGTTCAATGCATCACAGCTGTATCGGAGTTGGAGTCTCTGCTAAAATTCCGCCAACATGTCAGAAGACACTGCATCGCCAGTTCTTTGTTAGGAAACAGCACCTGGCTCGCCTTCGCAGCTGCATGGATGACATCTTTGACCGACCGGTTCAGGTCCAAGGGCCTGGGAACGACGACTTACACCTCACGGGTACTTCGCACAAAGTGCTGGGACCGGAGACTCCCAAAATCTGGTGGGTCGATCAAAGCAGAAACCCAAGCCATGAAGCTAGGCGGTACTCTGGCCACGTAAAGTCCACCAGGTTGCTTGGCCAGAGATGCCGTCGACACCACGAGCTGCTGCCACCTCGGAGAAACGGTGCAATGAAGATCTGTTGGACTGCTGGCTTTGCACCGGAGCCCTTAGCACCCTGTGTCTGGAAACTCAAACCTTCATGCTCAAGCGTGAGCCCGAAGCAGGGGTGCCGGCCATTCAGGCCGGTAGCGACCACATTGGGTCAGCGCATGGGCCAGTCGCTGCCGCCCTTGGTGCTCCTGAGCACTTCAAGCAGACTCGACTGGCTTCTTCTTGCCTGACAGTGCTTGCTTTGAGAAAGAACACGGTTCTGACTGACAAGGCGCACTTGTAAAGAGTCGACTTGTGTCGCCCCCTAACTACGGCAAGACAGGCCCGTCCGCAAGCATACATGAAAGAGGCTTCAGGTCACTCCGGGAACGACGACAAGCCTTTCTATGCTTTTCAGCAGGCCTGGAAGAACTGAAACTGCCCCGTACTTCCAACAACTGAGGGAGCCGTAAATGCCCCACCAACGCGAGCGACTCCTCATATTTCTCCCTCCATCGACAGCATTCGTCGGAAATTGAACCACCAAGCCCTGTTGCACTTGGACCCAAGACCTGCGCACCCTATCACCAGCATCCCTGAACCCTTGACAGCCTCTGGAATCCACCCTCCGACGAACCGAGACGCCGAAGCCGCGCGCACGAGGCAAAGCACCGGTCTCCTGTCGCTTCAAGGCCCAGTGCGAAATGGCGCGGCTCATGGAATGGGCTCTGGAGCCTCCTGTCCAGGAGCTCTGCCAGGATGTAGCGCCCGACCATACCGGTGCCACCTGGCGATCCCGCCCTTTTTGCTTCGGTCCATGGGTGTCCTTCCACTGACTCTAAAAGTGCAGCAAATGCCCGCGCCAACAGTTTCGACGGTAGCCAAGGCAGGGGAGGGCCTGTGAGCAAGGTGCACTCCGTGTCTTCACGCCGCTGTCCCACCTGGCCGGGACCCGCCCAGGGCCGGGCCCCGGGAAGATCCCAAAGGCCCGAAGTAGCAGTGAGTCGCACTCCAAAGTCGCTCGAACTCGCTTCTTCAAGACAGGCCCAACAAGGTTTCCCGATGCCTGCGGTTTCGGCAGCCCGAGCTTTGAATCTGCCATGGCATCCACCTGGATCGTGAGGTGGCGGGGATGCGATGAAGATCCGGGCTTCGTGTGCAGTCTCGTCTTTGGCTTCAGGTTCATGTGACTGCGATGGCTTGACTTTAACTGTGCCTCCTCCAGCTGCGACCGAACATGGTCAACCGGCTCGTCCGAGAGTAGCCTCTGGGAGCTCTGCAGCGAAGTTGGGTTCATCAAAGGGTCAGGCCGGCTGGTCAGGCACATGTTACGAAGGGATCAGAAACTCTCGGACGTTTGGAGCCTGGGCGGATGGGACTCTCTTGTCTCTTCGTGCGTGCGGAAGTGCCTGTTTGATTGTAAGCTGGAAGGAAAGTCACCAAGCCCTTCCTTGCGCTACTGGTCGCAACAACCCGCACAGAAATAGTGTCAAACATCCAACCGCAGCTTCCGGACCCCTGAAAGAGAGCCTGGCTCTAAACTCAGCACTGCTAGGGATGCATCTCATATATGCAACACCTGAAGTCTTCAGTCCACTTCCCCACGACATACTAAAAAGCCCCTAAGAGCCTAGGAGCAGCTGCACTGCCCGGCTCATCGGGACGCCCAACTCCAGGTAGAGGCGTGCCTGGGTTTGGCTTGGGGAAACGGGCATCACGCTGACCAACGCGGTGACGAGACCTTTGTGCGGGCTTTTTTTTGAGAACGTTGGCACTGCAGAAAGTGCAAGGATGGCGCTCTTTGCTTCATGCAGAACTGAACAGTGGCACAAGCCTGCGTCTGTAGAGGCCCTGCTTTTTTAGCTCGGTTGATCTGAGCGAGCTTGGTACCTGGGGAGTGGGTCTCAGCTCGGAGCTTTAGGTACACTGCCAGCTCTAAGTTTGAAATGGTGAGGCAGGAAGCCAGGCGCTTTACAGTGCTCGTTGGAAGCTGAGGCACCTCCTTATGAACTGGGCAAAATGGCATTACCATTTGCCGGCATGGATGCTCTGGGCGGAGCTGTAAAGCTGAATTTGTTTAGGGCCTCTTTCTTGTCGCATGTTCGCGGCCTGACTCGTAAACCCCTGAGCTACTGAATATCTCGACTTCTCGACGCAGATTCCTGCACCTGTCCTGAACCTCGAGAAGATACGGCTCAGGGCTGGCTGTGTTTAGTTTGGGGTCAAAATTTTGGAGTAGATTTGGCAGTGAACGCCTGACGCCTCCATGAGTCCTGTTGTTTTTAACACCCGGATACACCCGGTGCCCACGGGATGCACTGTCTAAGTTGCGCGGGTTTGTCTCATCGGGCCTCTGACGCGGTGCTGCTATCCTTTCTCAATGCATCGGAGAACATCTCGCCGCACTTTCTCTGTGCTGTTGCTCCGACACTTGTTCAGTGCTGCTTCACTTTTGCAGAGCCTTGGCGAACATCTTCGCGGTGCCAGCTCGGCGCACGGATGCCTGCACATTCTCTGCGTGCTCGGTGCGCTTCCGTCGGCGTTGCTGCACTTGTGCAGTTCTGCTGGACCCATTGGGGCTGCATTTCTTGATTCAGGGACCATTTTCTACAACACTTCTTGAAAACCACAAGAGCAAGGTGGTGCCACAGGATGAGATGCAATTTCAAATCGGCCAGAAGACCAATCAGGGACAAATCCGGGAAAAGTCCCGGTAGTCTTTCTGCTGGCGGGGACAACGGCGCAAGTGGTGCAGGGGGCCGGGTAGAAAATCACCGTCAACGCACATTGATAGGCAGCTTTCCAGGCAAAACCTATACTGCGTCAAACAGTGCCTTCGCTCCGCTCTGGCATTAACTTTGCCTCCGAGGGTCAATTCGTGCCGCTTGCAGGGAAGTTCCGCCCTGCCTGGACAAAGGCTCTTCGGCTCTCCGCGAAGCGGCATCGGGTCCAGCCCTAAATCCAAACACTCTCAACGACCCCCCCCCCCCAAAAAAAAAAAAAAAAAAATAGGTTTCGAGCCAGAGCGCGTCTTGAAGCTCTGGGCCGCATCCAGTTCGCCCAGTGAGGCTCGTGCGGCAGTGGCGGCACTCCTGCGAGTTGGCTAGAATTCGGCCATGCCCTCACCTCACTGGGTGATTTCAGCCCTAGAGATCAACAGGTGGCCAAATGCGAACAGGCTGCTTGCCCTGGGTGCTGTCTTGTCAACGAATTTTCACGGAACCGCTCAACAGGGGCCTCTGCAGCTCTTCCTCGATTGCAGCTCCATATATGGACAGAAGGCGCGTTCTGTCCAGCTTCCCTGGTGCGACTCAAGCACTGCGCAGGAAGTCGACTAACATGCCAGTGCCCGGATCTTGTGATAAGTCATGAGGGATCGGGAATCAGACGAAACACAGCTGTGCGATTGCTCCATGCTTGCATGCCGCTACTTGCAATCATTCCCGTAGAACCCGCTTAGGGCTGAGCGGGCATGGAACGTGATTGCCATCTTTGTTGTCACATTGACGTTGAGATTTCGGTGTCGCTCCTATAGTACACCACACCTGTGTAATTCAAACAACTACATGTGCCGATGCCTGTTCCGTTCAGCATTCCGGCTTCTTGCGAGAACGGCTCTTCGGCGAGAAGCACCTGCTGTAGAACTCGTTATTTAATCTATCAAGTTCTAAGGGCCTCCACCTTTGTCAATCCTGAACCCGGCTGGTGCCAAGGGAAGCAACATGAAGCAACAGGAAAGGGCACTGCGCACAGTGGTGCAGGGCTGCGGCTGCGCAGCTTTTGCAGCAGCTGCTGGGGGTCCTTGCATCAACACCAATGCTGCGCACATACGCACATCATCAAGCCTGAATGTCATCTAGTATTCAAGTCCTATACTGGCACATGATGCTGTGGAGCATTCCTGAAATCCAAATGCAGCAGGTAACGTTGCTTAGCAAAGACCCGTGGCGATTACAAGCTGAAGAGACCGAGCAACCAAGTTCTTCGACTCCGCATCGACAACCTGCGAAATCCAATGAACAGATCCCAGCGTGTGGGGAAGCGCAGCGCGACATGCGAGAGCAGTCTTCACCGTTTAGGAAAGATACATGTGGGTACGAGTACGTGGCAAAAAAAACAAAAAAAAAAACAATAGCTATTCTAATCATTCTATGACAAAGCAGAACAGAAGGAGCCGGCCCTTTTCAACTCTGTCGAAACTGTTCGCACCCCTCTTCGACAACGTTGCTCAGTCTTCCCGTCATCCCCACACCATGGAGTCTTCCTGCATTGTGCAGCTTTGGTCCGAGCCACGGCAACCAAAGAGTCGTGGTGAAGGTCGCCGTGAACGAAGACGTGTCGGACATTCTCGGCATCTAGCTCTGTCCTGCGTGAGGACAGGCGTAGTCAGGGCTGGTCACTGGAGGCCTCGGCTTCGCTCCGCTTCCTGTACACGATCTCCAAGGACTCCGGGAAGACCCACTTGCCCGTCGCCAGCTTGATGGAGCTCTTTGCGCGGCCGATCACTTCGATCCTGAGCTTGGGCAGCACAGTGCCGGTTGTGTCCGCTGGCCTAAACCATTGCATCCATTGCAGTCTTCGAAAACCTCAGCTAAGCTGCTGATCCCCCTCTACACGCACGAGGTCCCCGATCTTGTAGAAGCCATCCTGCATGCTGGCGTTTATTTTGGCAGGGTCATCAGGGTCACCTTATCAGAAGCGGCCGTGGTTCATGCAACAATATCTCAAGAAAAGACGAATCCTCCCAAAGAAAGGAGCTGGGCCCTGCTGCCATGCTTCGGAATTCTGCTTCTGTTTGCAGGCAGCACATTTAGAAGAGGCCCCACGACTCCGCAAGCACCCAAGGCCTCTGTGAAGGCAGCTGCAGTTCGATCCGGGTCCTCCGCAAAACAAAAGCAGTTCGGACCGAGGCATACTTGCCGACATCAACAGAGGCCGTTCGGGCCTCGACGTTCAAGATGCTGCTGATAGTATGATATAGTGCTACTACTACTCTCGCTTCTGCTGGTGCTCCATGTCGACTGCTGGTGCCATTGCGCTGTGACGGGGACGAACACAAAGGACGCGAATACCTAGAGGACGAGGACGATGCCGATGACCGCAACCGATATGAGCCACCGGATCTCCTTGTAGTAGCATGAGAACATGTGGCTTCCTGTCCTTCGGAAGAGATCGAGATGTGGGTGAGTTCGGTAACGACCAAAACAGAACGCTTCATGCGCCCCTGACAGAACACAGATTTGTTCTGCGTTTTGTGAGCCTGTAGATCACGACTCCGTCGTTCCTTTGCAAGGCAACCGAGGCTCTTCACGACCAACTCGCCACTGCCGGGCTCCATGTCCTCGTACGGGAGCACCTCCCAAAGAGTGCTTCAGAGTCTGAGAAACCTCAGCACGCAGGGATGCGAGCACCTTGTACTCGATGTCCTTGTTAATCCTTCGATTGACCGCGATGTTACCGCACTCCGTGCCTGCCCATGCATGCCAGGCCCATTGAAATGCAAGGCGGTCTCCCGCAAAGCCAAACAAAAACACTGTGAATCCTCCGTACATCTCCAGAAACTCCACAGGGCCAGTGTCCAACGCACAGCTGCGAAACCTCAAGCGGTTTGGGGGAGGACTTCAAAGCTTCAAAGGTCGAGACAGGGGGTGTGGCATTTCACGAAGGGGCCTGGATCCAACATTCCCACGGGAGGTGTGCGCGACATAGAGAGAGAGAGAGAGAGAGAGAGAGATACGAAAAGAGAGCAAAGAGGAAGAGGGCGAGGGCAATTGGAAAGCTCCAGACATGGGAACTCCAGGTCGACGCTAGACTCCAAAAGATAACTCTTCTAAGCCAGGCACCAGTCTGCCACACAAGCATCCAGCGCACCCGCGCCACAGATCCTCGAGCTCGCTACCATGGCTGAGGTCGGGAAGAGGCAGTGATGTTGATGTTGATTCTCGAGTTCTACAATGCCTGCAACAGGCAAGTTGTCCAGAGTTATCATGCGCCGTCTGTGCAAGGGTATGTCATTCAACAGCCACGGAAAAGACGTCCAAAGCACCTGAACCTACCTGAACACTCAAACCCAACTGCGTCCATGCCTGCACCACAGTGCTTCGAAACCGAGTCGCAACACTCGGCAGCGCCCACCCAGCAAGCGAAGCGACCGATCCTGGCGGAATGGAAACTGGAATAGTTCCACCAGAAGATCAAAAAGCCTTCGTGCTCAGGAAGAAGAACACAGAAGGACTCTGCAAACTCAACGACCATACCAGATGATCATGCGCTGGAAGCCACCGTCATCACCACAAGGACCATGACAGACTTGCACAGGATCCTGGAAACTAAGAGAAGCCTTCGCTTCCTGGAAGCATGAAGCTGTAAAGCCAAAAGGTGTAAAGTCCTGAACTTCGAGACCTTTCTGTGCTGGCCTGCACCAGCCGTGCCGCCCTTTGCACTCTCTCCCAGAAGGCTGGCACGCCCTTCAGAACCTTTCGGATTCTGCTGCTTGCCTGTTTTTGTTTGGGTTTGGGGGGGGGGTGGAGCTTGCCACCATAATAGGCGCATTGACAGGATGGTCCACAGAATGTGCGCTCAACAGATGAAGGCTTTGCAGCGGTCAAGCTGCGAACCCTGGACGAAGGCAAGCGCTCAGGTGCAACTCCGTAAGAGTGCCTAAACTTAAAACTTGCTTTGGGGTGCAACTCCGCAAGAGTCACCGGGGCTAGGTGCTGGGGCTGAGGTGCCACGTCGAGTGGCCGTTGGGCGCAGAGCTTGGAGGTCACGAAAGATTTCCTTGACTTGGAAACCAGCAGCTTCGTCAAATCCCATAAACGGAACGGTTCTCGGGCCTCACCAACGCAGACTGGTCCGACCAAGCCACATCGGTAGAACCCGGTGTTCGGATTCCCACACGTCCACCATTCCAGAGCGCTGTGTACACCTGCGCAAGACGCATCGCACAGGTGGTGCGAGCAAGGAGACAAAGCTACATGAACCCATGGTACCATGCCGTACACATCTCAGCCAAGCAACTGTATGACGGTCGGTGATGTAGGCGAGCGGCATGTACGAGTAGCCTGTCTGGGGTTCGTTGAAGTCATGCATGACCTTGCGGAGAGGCTGGCCGAACCAGCCCCTCCTGCCCGGCTCAGTGCATCAAAAACAAAATCTTGCTTTTGCAGAGCCAGAAACCCACATTGAAACCAGGATACCTCGACTGTGCCAGCAGATGGTTCGAGAGCTACTCTCAATGCACTCACTCTCAGTTCAGTTACCCAGGGGACACCACAGCCAACCGGCCCACTCAATGCCTACAAACCACTTCAACCCCTGCAATCCCTACAGTAGTAGCTTCAGCCCCATGACTTCGCGAAAATCTGTTCTGCGGAAGATGAGCATAAGCATGTTCTTGTGCCAGAGGTCATCGCTGTAGACCACACCTTGCTGCTATGGGAAGAGACATCAGACTCGACCTTTTTTGCTTCCACAAACGTGGCCGAGCAATGTGCGAGGGTCGACCGGTGAAATACATGAAACTGCTACGATCTGGAGCTTGAGAGGCATGCCAAGAGACCCTTGGGCAGGCCGGTGGTTCCCGAGGTGTGGAGGATGGTGTGGACGTCTGAAGGTCCTGGAAGGCAAAAAGCGTGCAGCATCCCAAACTGGGAACACCAGCAGCAAAACACTGTGTGCAGCGGTCGTCTGCATATTCAGCACAGTCCCTCGGAATGGTGTCTGAATCTTGGGACAAATCCACACCTGGTGATAGCATAAGCCATGGTGTTGGCATCATAAACCCTTCCTGTCCTCGCACCTTTATGGGCATCTCCGGCTGAGCGACTGCCAAGGAGTCCATCCTACATCAGGCACATGTGCTTTCGACCTCCCAACACTCGCAGGACAAGAGCACATCCTGACGACTTGAACCGGAATGGAATCTTAATCTTCATTGAAATCCTGAGGTTGCTTGCGGCCGGGCATCGAAACAATGTGGCACATGCCCTCCACGCTCTCGCCTGGAGACATTTTCACGCTTGCACACTCGGAACTTGGCCGTGCAGAGCAGCAGAAAATGCTCGATGGCTGGCCGAGACACCTACATGTTCGTGACCATCCAGGACGATGATCCACCTCGTAGAACTTGCAAAGCATACTGTCGTGAACCAACATAGGGTCACTTGCAAGTTGATGATTGACAATGAGCGTGATCCCATCTAAAGCATGCAGGTCCAAGGAGGTCGGAGCCGAGAAAGAACATGGAGGGCAGGCTTCCGCTAATGAGTTTCAACAAGATCTGGTCGGACCCTAGTGCCTGAGTGAGGGCAGCGCCAGACACTTCGGAAGCTGCGATCCGTCACAGAACACAGCAGAAAGCTCACACCTGCAGCCGGTTCGTGGAGAAATACTTGAAGCTTGAGTCGCATCTTCGACTCAAGCACAAGCTTGTCACTGCAACCCATAGCCTTGTTTAAATGGAATGCCAACTGAAGGCTGTTGCGACCCTTCTCCATCTCCAAGTCCGTACAATCACCATCTGTCGGAACCCTGCCTCTCCACGACTGGACGAAGTTTTGCCAAATCCCAATCCTGGTAAGAGTGGCGGCAAAGGGGACATGCAAGCGCGTTGGCTTTGTGCATGCGCTCTTGTCAAAATGGTGAGGAATCTCTATACAGACAGAACCACAGAGTCCAAGCGAGCTTTTGATTTTGGCATTCACATCGAAACTCCGATCACCGACTCGCACTGCAGGCAAGCACTAAGATAGACACACTGAATTATGCGATCTTGCATCTTACGAGGCACAACATATCAACACATGCACCGCTGGCTCTAAACAAACCTGCAAAAATAATAGCAAAAGCTGGCACACCCAGAGACCGATGATCGCCCCTTAGAGTAGACATCTCTCATCTGGCCCAGAGCCCAGAGCCTCGCTCAGCGGAACTGAGCCAACGCCGGCGAAGACCGCTGCCAGGTCAGCCAGGAACCAGTTCTTGGCCAAAGAGCTACTAGTAAGAACGCACCAAGTGCAGGAATACGCCGCAGTGCTCTACAAGACTGTGCTAGACTTAAGCACTTTTTTGCAACTCAGTGAAACCTGAAGTATTGTGCAGCAGTGCCGCAGAAAAGACAGCTTTATGTCAGATGACCCTGCAGACCACAACCACACTTACTGACATGTAATGCGACGAAACTCCATATATGACTACTATCCTATCAACTACAGAATTCACTATAAGAGAGCTAGAGACGATGTAATGCTGTAAAAATTCGCAGTGTCTTGACGTGACCTGCTACCCCAAACTACCACGAAATGCATATGAGCGCCAATACCAGAGCAGATAACGCCGTATGACTACATAGTCTGCCACACCGTACTGTGTAACACAGCATGACGGGTAATAGACTTTTCCGAAGGTACATTCGTCCAATCCAAACAAGTACTAGAACTAAGAACTACCATTCAGAAGCTCAATACAGTACTAAAGATACTCTGGATATGATCTATGTTATGTGAGTGAATGCTTCATCGCATGTGGTATTCAATAAACCTACATCGGCATAAGATTATATGACATTGAACGATGTATCACCAAATTGTACCAGGTGCTTTGGTGGCACGCAGATGCTAACTCAGTCTGTACACTTGACTTGCTGTGTTGCACAACTGAGAAATGTATGGTGCTGGCACATTACGAGAGCACGAACCACACATACTACGGCAGAATTCCACCGAGCACGCTAGTCGTTTTGGATTAACCACACATTCGGGCTACACTGGCATTGAACACTCATGCACTCTTGGGCTTCTCTCTACCATGACACGCACACACACACACATATTGTCGCCAAGGGTCGAGGCTGTTGACACCACAGATGCCTCGACAGTAGGTCGCTCGCATGTGTGGAACATGGAAAGGTGGCTCGAGCTAGCTCCTGAAGGAACTCTGCCGAAAGCCTGCCGAAATGGACTTCGTCTAAACCACTACCGGTCAGGTTGCATCGGAGGTACCCACCAAAGACCCCGGTGCAAGCTTCGATTGAAGAGCACCGGAGATCTGGGCATGTCCGGACTCGTGACTCAAAAGGCTTCGGGAGTCAAGAACTTCGAGGGGTATCAATCCGGATGTGCTGTGCAGACACGGGACAACCACGGGAAGCGACCGTACGGGAGGTGTGCTACCAGGCTCACGGCATATCATTGAACCTCAACATATGGAGGGCCCGCCCGGCCTTTTTGGCTGCAGAATAGACTCTGCCGTAAGAGATCCTCAGAGGGGCATATCAGCATATCCCCAAAGGGCGGACGCGAGACACGAGACAGAGAGCCAGTGAAATCCACCGACTCTGCTCGCCAGGCCCCTGTGGCAGAGTTTTGGCAGAAGCCCCGGGAACACCGAAATGCTCCAATTTCTTGAGCGCAAGGAACATGACTGCGCCCCAACCACAACCCCAATCAAGCAAAGACGAAGGAGCCAGCGGTATGCATCGCCAGTACGCTGGCCGAGACACGGCCTGTGCATCTATATCGGACTTAGAGAACAAGCTACACCTAGTGTCCTGAGCTCGCTGATTGCTTTTGAGGGGAATAGATATCGATTCTGCAAGTCTGTATAGAACATGCCACACACGCAGTGCATCTGGTCGCGTCCCGATGCATAAGGCCGAATCTGAATCGGAGTTGGCCTGTCGCTGAAGCTGTCGAATCGTGCAGCCAGACCCTGCGAGGCCAGTTTCAAGCAGCTCTGGACATCGGATAACTTCCTAGGAGACTACAGACCACAGGTCCTCATCACGTGTCTTTGGGGAAGGTTTCCGACAGGGGTGTTGTGAAAAGGAATCCAAGCCAATGCCTTCTTCACCTCTCCTAGGTCCTAGGCAGCACAGAAAACGAGTCAGAAAGGCGCGGACTCAACAGCAAAAGCCCCAACATGGGCTGCGCCTCGGCTAAAGACCCGTGCACGGGAAGCGTCGGCTGTATGCCTTGCGCCTGTCGTAGTCACGGTTCCAGGCAGGCGGTGTCTGCCCGGCATTAGTTACTAAACCGAAAGCCTTGTCAACGACCTGCTTTCATTGCAGACACATCCCAGATTCCCGAACAGCCACGGCCGTCGCGGTGCATCTAGGTTTTATGGGCTTTGACGAGGCTTTGCGAGGAAAGCGAAGGCGGCCTCATCCACTTCGAGCTGGGAACGTGGAAGGTCGTCCACAAGGCATTCGCTGCCCATGCTTGAGCCGAGCCAAGGCTTGGGGCGGCACGAAGAAGAGGAGCCCAGGCCATGACTGCAACCGATGTAGTGACAAGCCTCCAACCAGGACCATGTAAAAGCTATGAAACAATGAAGGCTGAACCCAGCGGTCTTTGAAACCCTGACCCATACCGCCACGGAGCAACAGCCATGATATACTCGCATCAGAGCCCCATGCCAAAGTCACGCAGCGAGTTGACGGAATCCGACCTGCAGAAGCATGGCAAAGGGGACAGACTCACAGACACGACGGGTGCCGGGCGAATCGATCAGACATGAACCCGACAAAAATACGATAGATCAGAACACACACACACACACACAAGCAAAAAAAACAAAAAGGCAGCATTCAGTCATGCCTTAGGACTGACCTGACCTGACCTGCCTAACCCAAATACGACAGTTGAGTTTTAGGTAGGGATTGCTAAGCTGACCTAAAGTTGCCTTAACTCGCCTAACCTTGCCGAGGAAGTCGTTTTCTTCTTTGGCAGAAATGCATCCTTGGACGGACTATGGCAACTTATCCGACGCCCTATTGAATGTACCGACCGTGTTTAGTGGTCGGATATTGGGGCTTTCAAGGTTTTGTCAACAACCCGGAAAGCTCGTGACCCTCCCGAAGCCCTAAACCCAGTACCTTTCGGGTAAACCCCAAACCCCGTAAGCCCTAAACCCAGTGCCTTTCGGGTTTCGGGTGTGGAGGGCTGTGAAACTTTTTCTTAAACCCCAAAACCCTACACCCTCATCTTCTCCCGGCCTGTTTGCCTTTGTTCTTCCGTTTGCTCTGCATTTGGCGTCCCTGTCTCCTTGGTTTCTGGACCCTTGTCCGTAAATACTTGGAAAGTGCGGCTCGGGCTGGGCATCTTGGATAGCCATTCCACCCATACCCCCAAATCCGATCCAGCAGCCGCTACCAGGAAGCTGCGTGGGGCTCACACTATCAGCTAGCAGTCACTGGCACACCCCAAACATGCCTTGTCGTCGCAGGGCCGCAGCTCCTGTCAGACCTCCCCGGGCTCGCGTCGGTGCCATAGGTACGAAATGGACGTGTGAATGCTGGGGGGGCCAGGGAGGCTCCGGCCTGATACTGGCGACATCTTCGCTGATGCCGGGGCAGGTACCACCAACAAACCGCAGAGGGTCCTCCCAGGGTGGGAACAACGCAACTCAACCGACCGCTCTATCCGCTGTGACCCATCGCAAGAAGAGCTCTGTGCCTCTGAGGCAGGCCGAGGCCTGGGCCAGAGCTGGGCTCAGCCTTAGGGCCTTCCTTTCAGGGGCTTTCCGAATCTTTTGAGTTCAAGCCACGACGTGCGGCTGTGCACTCTTGAGCCTCTGAAAGAAGCGTCAAAGCGAAGCCCAAAACACACAAGGGTTTGTCGGTAGGCCAGAAGAACCGAGCCCAGGGCGGAGTCTTGGGCGCCTCCTGGGCTTCGGGGCTCCAGTCCGAGCTCGGAACGCAGGCCGTACTACCCGCACGATTACGTTTGCGTGCAGGACACGACATGACGGTGTAAGAACGCCATATGCACATCAATGTGTATGTTCACATTTGTACACATCTAGTGACCGAAAAAACTCAGCTACTTGTATCTTGTTCGAACGGGTTCCGAAGCTTTGGATCTCCGAGAAAGAACCGACACTTAGGCGTAGACGAACCTGGTCGCATCAATTCTCCCTCGACTCATGAGTGCAACTGCTGTTGGACGCAGGCCCCAACTTTAAACCCGGGAAGGCTGCCATTAAATCTTGCAAGAAACGACTGAATCCTCAATGCATGCAAGTGCTACCCCAGTGAGGCCACCGGATCCCGGGCGATGTAAACCCTCGACTGTGGGCAGAGAAAGCAAACATGGAGGGCTCTAGAGACAAGACACTGAAGCAAACCAGCCTGTGAGGAGGCATGCATGGGGGCCCTATGGGGCCCTAACCCCTTCCGGCTTCTCAATTCAGGGCCGGCCAGATCATCCACTCAAATAAAGGCTACAACCGTCCCTGAGCTCGTCTCCGTCTTTGCCTCGGCCGCTGCCTGCGAGGCTTCTTCAGCCTTCCTTGACAGGGAAGAAGGAAGACACTCGCCTCATTTATCTTCACACAATCATGGGGGCCTGCAGAGAGGCTGAGAACGGGTGTTGCCATGTAAGCGGAACTCACCAGCCACACACAAGACTTGATTTTTTATTGTGGCTTCATGGGATACGATGCACCTCCGGCGCAGCTTCTGCTTCTGCTTCTTGGAAAGGCGCCTTCAAAACAACGCACCAAACACAAGAGCGGCAACCTCAGAGAACAGAGGCTGGCGGGATTAACGTTCATGGTGCTGAACGGGCACCTTGGCTCCTCCTGCGGAGGGTTCACCAGCAGCGCAGCAGCCGAGTACTCCGAGCACCTAAGCAGGACAGGTGGCATCATGGCTTCCTGTCGAAAAAACGCCTCGGCATCCCGAGCAGCATCGCCATCCAAAATGTATACAAAGATCACGGCAGCGGACAAATGGACAAACCGCAGCAGGATCAATCCTTACGGTCACTCTGATTGCTTGCCTATCTCATTTTCTGGAAAACAACGACTCATGGCGACAAGCTATCTCTGAACTCCATCAGGGACGCTCGTAGATCAGTGCATCTGCACAGACATGCGGAGTCGTGTGGAAAAACGACACACTGGACACTGAGTACGTCACACGATGGCCAATTCCTCCGCAAACTGCTGGTGCAGCCAAAGGCGGGGCGAAGCAAGCAGCACCTGGGCAATTAAATCAAGCCGCTCCTCCCCTCCAATCCATTACCATGCGTACATTGAACCTGCTCTTCCCAACGAAAGAGGTCGGCTCCAGGTCTCAGATCTGGCCCCTCAAGTCTGCTTATTATACCCACGCATGCAGCTGCCCCAGTTCCCAGCCTCACTGCTCGTCAACTCGGCCGCTTCTGCAGCGAAGCGTAGGGACGAAGTCGAAACCTGGCCAGAAGATGCGGCAAGAAGGGCTCGATTGGACTCTTGAGACAAAGACGAGGACTCAGGGTTCTGTCAGGCGACGCTCTACAAGCTGAGCCCCAAGCCGCAGCCACCAGCTCTAATGGTGATCTCGCCGCTGCGGCCGTAAGCCCCTGATCTTCGCGAAAGGGGCCGCTCAGGTCCTCAAACTGCCAGCAATACCAGCAACAGCCGCAACAGCAGCAAACGGGCATCGTCACGAAGTCTCCGACAGATCCGCAACTTCATTTGCAGGCCCCGGGTTGGGAATGCGAAGAATCGACGGTTGCGTGGCCTCGGGGCCCACGTCGCTCAGCAACGTCGCCAGGCTTCGCGGTGCCACGTCCTCTTCACCTGGCCACAAATGGAAAGTGCGGAAAATGGCAGCTGATTGGGGGGGCGGGCAACACTAACCCGAGGACTGGCAATTTCAGACGACCGAGGCAACATGAAAGCAGCGCGTTCAATCACCTAGAATATCCAAGGTAGATCAAAGGTTTCACGTCTGCGGGCTGGCAGCTCGGTAGGGCTGACTCTTCAGAAAGCAAAGCTGTCTTTTCCGCCCTCCATGCACTGCAGAGTGGCTACTTCTCTCGCGTCTCGCGGAACCATTTGGGTGATGCCCCTCTGCACCAGAATTGTGCAGTGACTCCACCCAACAGAAACTAAAGTGCAGAGGTTGCGGTTGCTCTTCTTTCACTGCGACCTGGTGACCGTTCTGCTGGCAGCTTTTCCAATCATTTACAAACTGGTGGCTCTCTGCGGGTCTGATGTTCTTCTAGCAATATCAGGAGCGATCAGAAGATTGGAAGAATTGGGCTGCAACCTTTGGACTCAGATGGCAAGGGACACACTGGTCGTGGTCGCCTGATCGAGTACTATACATGGGCAGAATAGACTTATTCTGATAAGTTGTCAAACGGAACATGCATGAACAGCTTCCCGAATCTTCTCCGAACTGGCACCGTAAGCTCATCAACCCAACAGTTGCAAAGATGAGGGCCTGTGATACAATGTTGGTGCATTTCCATGACGCATCAGGTCACCCAGGTCGAGTTGAGCCGCGGTACATAGCTCACAAGGATTGCCTTAAAAGCCATTTCTTGGCAACCCTACCCTCTAGATTGTGCACAAGTCATCCACTGGATTGCACTCCAGCTCGTCGTTCTGTGACCTGCACAGAGCTGTCCGCGCCGTGCTTCGACAAGACCGAGGTGAAGCACGGCTGCACAAAATACTAACTTTCATCAGAACACGACCCTACCTTTGGTGATAAACAGGGTGCAAGCCTCAACCTTCAGCATCCTTAGGCTCAATTGCTTTCATGTTCCTTTCGCAGACTGAGCAATCGCACGCCCCGGTCGGATCCTTCACACAACGTGTCCTGCCTTACCGTCCTCACCGGTATGCATGTGCGACGGCAGCCTGGAAGCAAAATCAAGCAGCCAGATTAGGTCTAGAGCGAAGCACAGGCTGCCAACTGCTGCAGCAATCTAGAATCTAAGTGCAAGACCTGCACGGCTCCATCCGCCCAGTCCCAAACCCCCATTTCCCGACGTAAATGGAGTTCACATGGTTCCAAGCCTGGCCTCGGACCGAAAGATGTCCTTCATGAGGCCTCCCTCGGGCTGCTCCTCCTTGCAACTCGGGTCCGATGGCTTGTTTGTTCTAGCAGCTGAGCCTTGCGACTTCTGGGGCTAGCCCAAGGAGGCGTGTCTGCAGGTATTTGTAGGTATCACCAGTAGCGTCCAGTAGCACTAGCAGTGGCAGCGTAGCAACCAACTCCGTCATCAAAATCACATGCGCCTATCCACGGAAACACTTCCGATGGTACGAGAGGAGAATAGAGGAGAGTTCGCGATGCGCTGAAGTTGAAGCATTCTAAGCCTTGCTTACAAATTTCGACGTGAAGCACGCTGCATACGTCGAGTCACGGATAGTAGTGGTCCGCTGAGACCGTGGGGGTGAGGCAAAAGGAAGAGCGAAGGACCCCAAAGCGAGCAACCCACCAGAACAGCTGGGCGCCGACGCATCTCGAGGATACGCAGCATGTGCCAAGCGATCCAGAACACTCAGGGCCGGACCGGCGTCACGATCTTCTGGAAGAACGCAGCCACGCTGCGAAAGATATCTAGGATGGCCTCGGCCTGCAGGAGTACAGGAGAAAGATTTGTTATGTTGGCTGGGGATTCGCTTGGGGTCTATGTCGTGCTCACTCTGCAGCTTCAATGTTCTCCATTGTACAGGCTTCCGAGGAGGTGCGCTCATGCTTGACAGGGGGTGGTGAGCGTTGATTGCAAGGATGTTCAACAACGATTTGTGAAGCGCAGGTGATGAATATCCCAGAAGTGTCGCCGATATCTCAACTCGACGACATCGCATAAACTCATGCGCTGCTGCACCACACATCGAAGCCTCCCAGAACCGCATCAAAGCCTGAAACATCCCCTCGGCACCTCTGCAGCCTCGCCAGCCCGCTGCAGGCCGCCTTCAGCTCGGCACGATGCGGAAGACTGGGACCCTTCTTTCTCTTTTGGCATGGTAATGCATGGTAGGGCTCAAGGCTCCTCTCTCTGGGAAGCCTTGAAACCGGGAGCCCTGGTGGCGAAGTGATCGAAGTCTTCAGAAAAGGCAGAAGCCACACAAAGTGACGTGACCACTTCGCCGGCCCCGAAGGGAAAATCTGCTCCGGGGCTGACACCAAACGCTCGTGGAATCGGACGCTGCTCACGCAGCCTCCAGAGACAAGGCTCCACGACTTCGTGCTGCAAACGCCCAGCTTCGCGCTCTAAAGCTCAAGTCTCTGGAGCTACGTCCGGCAGACACAGGCTATCGTTCACTGCAGGTAGCTGACGAGAAAAGACCGATGCTGCACTGCTTGGGAAGCTGACGTTAAGATGCTCAATGCCCTCATGGAGGTGGCATACTTCGGGCGGATTTCCCTCAGAGTGGCACTATGTGAACCCCCTGCGTCCGCTGTTCTGAGTCGGGCAGTAGGGACGATTGGCTGCGGCGATCGAATCCAACGTAGGTGCTATCTCCATCTCCGGCGCCCACCTAGCCCTCAGCGTCGCGGCTGGTGAAGGTGTTTTGGCTCCGGGCACGAGCTCCTTCTCAGGAAGCGTCTTTTCGGACATAGCCCACAAGTGCTTGAGGTGGTACGGGCCCGTTCTTATCGGAAAAGCAAGAAGCGGTATGTCATCAGCTGCCCACACCCACAAGCCCGCTGCTACCGACTCCGGGCCACAACTGCGAAACCCTGTGTGCCCTCCTTGGTGAGCTGGACGAACCTTGTCTTCCAGACACGGGGGGATGCTTGGCTCTGCTAGGGGTTGGAGAGTGGGGAGCTCGTCCACTCACCCTTGGTGGTTGGATGCTGGGCCCACATTGCAACACACAAGCACTAGCTGCGCACTAGCATCCTCCTCAGAACAGGCGAGCACAAGTACTTTATGAGACTGCACGAATGCAGCTCGCGACCTCTGAATCTATACTGCTGACAGCACTCTGGACACTAGCAGACTTTGGTCAAGGTGCGAAGACGCACAACCTTCGCCTGGCAAACACAACAAAACTCAGAAGCTGTGAGGTTCCTGTCAGTGTCTCCCTCCACATGGAACACGCGGAATCATGTGTGGACATCGACAGATGCCGAATCTACATTCCTGAATTAGCCCCGGCAAGCAGTCAATCATGCCGCATGCAGCAACCTCCCTTCGCACCTTCGCGCCCATCCAGGTCGATCGCCGTGGATGCGGCGCTATGTGCCAAGAAGAGCAATGAGAGCCATGCCAGCACGCCTTGGGTTGAAGCTTAGACGGGCTTAGCAGCTTGAAAGCACCGTCTCTGTGTTGAACGCTGGTTGATGTAGAAGCAGAGGTGCTCAAGAATTGCGAAACATTTACTCTGCATTCAGTGTCACGTTTTAGTCCAAGGGGCGCCGCCGCATCTTCGGGGGAAGGTTCAGTTTGCGGTTAACGTCACTCTGAGCCAGACGGCGGCAGGCCGTCTCATACGATCTCCCCAAGAGGACGCTCGCCTAGAGAGGCCGCAACCCCCGTGCAAAACAGCTTCCAAGCCTCCGGAGGTCATCGCCTGATGGGTCTCTGAGAAGAGACGCCTCAGGAGCGAGCGACCTGAGAAGTTCGGACCGTCGGAGCAGGGGCATTCCGATTCATAGCCTTCAATGAGATAGCTCCACTGTTGCCACCTGTTACCACGAACATCCACACGGGCCAGGTCCGCCCAATGGAGATTATCAGGCGTTCGGTCTTCAATGGCTTTTTGGGTGTATAGGGCCTAGGGCTCATCGCTTTCTTTTGAGACTGCTTCAAAACCTATTCGTTGAAGACGAATCGAAAACAAATGACCGATCGCGAGTATAAACTAGGCATTTGCGTCTAGTTCGTGCAACAGTAAGTAGTGTTAGTAGTGAATCCGAGACAGCGAGCACTTTTGTAATTGTGTGTAGCAGCTCCTGATCTTGGTGCTGCACCCTACAAAACAGAGCGACGAACCCTTGGAAAGGCAACGCACCAAAAGCCTGCGGTCCAAGCCCAGCCGTGTCATGGTCTGCTGGCGGTGCGCCGGCGGCATCGAAGCCCAAACCTACACCACTACACAGGCAACCCCCAAACGAGCAAAACGGCCCTGCCCCCTGCCCTACCGGACCCTGCCCTACCTCTGCCAGCGGCAGGCTCGGCTCTGCCTCCATCTCCAGGCCGACAGCTAAGCAGGTTCTGATCGTTCTTCTCAGCTCTTCTCTCTTCTCTCTAGGGCTGGTTTTCCTGGGGCCTGCATTCGCGAGGCGTAGCCTTGCAGGAGAAGCACCTGCAGCAGCCAAAAAGGCAGGGCTGCGACTCTCGCGCCCAAAGTTGGCCCCCCCAGATGTCTCAGCCCGGGCGCTTCGAGGCGGGAGCCCAGGTAAGCGCTGAGCGGCGCATGGGTGGCCCACTGGCGCAGCCACGGCGCCTTCGGGTCGCGCAGACCCTGCGAGAGTTCCAAATGCCTAAAAGACCAAAGCTTTGGCCTCAGGCCATCCGGTGGCGCCCGTTTTGGGGTTCTCCTCCTTCTCTCGCAGAAACCTCCCACAAAAGTGGAGTGCCTTCTAACTTGCTTTTGGGTCCCTTCCAGGGCTCAAGCACCCCGCCTCCCAAGGGAGACATCGTCCAGCAACGAGAAGAAAGCCTCCGATGGACTTGGACTGGGTGCGCTGACTCAAGGGGTCGTACCCCTGAATGACCGTGCAGCACAGGTCAGAGAAAAATGGCTGGCAAGCGAAAGCTGACGAAGCTCGCGGATCGTCCAGGCACTGAGAGAACACGAGACCAAAGACTTTCAACAGTGTTTCCTTCGAAGATTCGATGCTTGTCCCCACGCCTCACAGTCTGTGACGGTCGCGGGTGAGGGCATGATGACGCCCCAGTCAAAGGCCTTATATATAGATTCGGGACGCTTTTTGATGTTAGGGTCGAGGCTGCAGAGCTTTGCTAACACATCCCTGTGGCAAACAACAGCGTGCGGATTCTTGTCCTTTCGCAGCTCCGTTGGTGGACATTCTGCTTTACATCCGATTTGTCCCACATCGTGCAGGGGTGCGGGGAGTAACGGGAACCCTTTCGGGGCTCACGCCCATGTCTGTTTTGTACGGGGCATATAGAGTTTAGGGGTTCAATCAGAGTCACGGCTTGAGATTTAGGAATGGCAGTGGCAATGCAGAGGGTTTTATCATGTGGAAGAATGGTCCCGGATTGAAGGCTTTCCAAAGCAACCCTCGTCGTCGTGAATTTCTGAGGGCTCGAGCTTCATAATGTCAGAAAGGCGTGCTGGGGAAAGAAATCCCTGAGAGGGGGCGCCCAAAAAAGAGATGCTGGATGCCCTAGCCAGTTCCTGTTTGGAGGGCCTGCCTGCGAGCTCCGTTCCTGTTACGGGGTCCCGTTACGGAATATACTCCATGGTCCAGGCGTTTCCAATGCCCTTCTCGAAGCCACCAAAGCGCCGAAGTTCTGTAACTCACAAGCACATCCTGCCGCCCTCCTCTACCGTATATTTGCAGAGACCGCTGTGGGAGGGCAGAGGCATAGCCAGGCAGCCCGGCCATGGATGCACAGCAGCATCCCTGAAAGGCAACGCGCAGTCCGGCCAGCAGCGTCGCAGAGGCGGCACCTTGGGAAAGGCGCGCGGCAGCTGGGACTGGGACGGCATTCGTCGAGGAGGGCACGGCTTGCTAAGCAGCACACGAAAGTCGGCCGTTGCCGGTGGCACAAGGATCTCCTTGAGGCGGCCAACGAACGTAGAAAAATCACTGTGGGCACCAAGACCCTCAGCTGCTGAGATCCCAACGCCATCCGGCAGCCTGGTTGAACAGCCATGCAATCCGACACTTGTGACACGTTGAGTCGAGCCCTGCACCTGTGGGGGCGTCGGTAATGGACGTTCGGATCTCGAGGAACTTGTGCCTGATTGCTAGACTCTGCTAGGATAGTGGCGCCTGCTTGCTCCTCAGAGTCTTGATCCGACTGTGCAGCCACTTCGGGAAAAGGCGAAGGTCGTTGCAGTGAGTGTCTGCGATTTCGTGAAGAACCATGCTGTCCCAAGCTGACCCACCTCGTTGCGTCGTACGGTCCCGGAGGCACTAGCCTTGGACACGCGGCCTTCGCACCAAGGATCATGTACAAGAGTGCCACACTACAATCACTACAATTGAGCGGTTTAACTCAAAGGGGTTGGTGTCGTGATGGAGCATCGCGCGACGACCACAAAAGCTACATTCTTGTGCAGCGGACCGGACGAACAATGAAAACGGGATTAAAGAAGTCTCTGCAAGCCGTGGCTTCAAGACTGGAAGCGGTTGCTGAGTCATGCAAGCCGCGACATTGCAGCACTGCAAAATATCGGCTTCCTCAGCGTCCAAACAGCAACGGCTCCAACGTGAACAGACCTTACACCGCAGAGCAGCCTGGGGCAGCATTCAAGAAAGACTCAACGCTGCAGCAGCGTACTGCTTCCATCAAGCTCTCAAGAACTTTAACTGCAGCCGAACGGGACTCAACATGACTAGTGACGAGTGCCGAGATCTCGGTTTGCATTTGTCGTCAGCCCTCCCAGTCCCCTCACCAATGACTCACGACAGACACGGCTCCGGTCCAGCCTGCGGGGGGTGCTGGCTTCGGCGCCACCTGAGGATCCCCGAACTGCGCGGCCGAGTCACCCTCGGCTCCAGCCTTGAAGTGCCCCTCCCACCGTGGCTGCCATCCTGCACTGGCTTCTGGAGAAAGGTTCGGCGAGATGAGGGCAACTACACGACATGCACACGTACTATAGCGTACTAGCTTACGTACGTACCTATACATACTTACATGCTAACCCCTCACAATGTTTTTGCCGGATGGGGGGCAGGCAGGTACATACGTATGTACGTACGTACTTATAGCTACCTACCTAGCTACCTGCCTGCCTGCCTACCTGCCTACCTACCTACCTACGAACGATTGCCCACCTATACCTGTGCCTTGGCTGCATTGGCAAGGAAGGTACTTACGTACCAAGGCACATGCATACATACGTACCAACGTACCAACGTACGTACGTACCGCCCCCCCTGGAACAAATTGGCCCACAATCCCCGCTCAGTCGCTCCAAGTATTGAGACCGTTAGACCACCGCTTTGTCACACTGACTTCCATGCAAACTCGCAACTTCGCCCTGAACAAATGGAATGCTTTACACCCTCATACCGAAGAGAGAAAGGAGCACACGGAAAGAATCACGGCAAATTGCGCTAAAGCCGGGGTCCTCGAAGCCGGCACATCTTGAGCACCGTGCGCACCCACCCTGGGCTGTCGTACTTATGGCATCCAGGAACAACACCCAGCGCAGTACGTCGTGGACTCCGCTGATTATCCACACCTCAGGGTCACCAGGCCTGCATCATGGCAGGTAAGCACGGAGAGCCGCTCCTCGACCTTCGCGCGAAGCCACGGACGAACCACCGGCATACTCCGGATTTGCGCATTTGTAGAGGCCGGGCGTAGGGTTTGGGGTTTCGGCTTCAGGCTTTCGGAGTTCGGGGGTCTGCAAATGCTGTGTTGCACTGGGCCCCGGCACCGAGAGCTCCGAGAACCAGGCAAAGACCTGTGCAACATGGGAGGCATGGGAGCTTGCCATCTCTCCTCGGACATGCGGAGCTACAGGGGCCTACCGACTTCAACGAAGCCAAGAAAGCACCGAACTTGGTTGGGTGGTCCTTGGGGAAATCGGTGGCATTCTTCAACGGCTTCTTCAGAACACCACAGCCAAGCCTGTAGCCTGTAGCCTCTTGGTGTCTCAGCTGGCCCCTCAAACTCCGAAAGCCCCACGCGAGCGCAGTGTTCGCCTCCGCGCGCAGCTTCGAGGCTGGAGCTCGGCGAGGCCTCCGCTACCAGCTGCTAGCCGTGTAGCCGTGAACAGGGTGATCGTCACTGGACTGGGCTGGTTGACTGAAAAGCCCTGCCTAAGTCGACTGAAGAACAGCACATGGTCAGCCAGCACATTGAGCAGCTGCCTGCCCCAAGACGCAGAAACACAAGCAAAGTGCTCCCCCCAGCAACAAAGTCCTCGATGTCACAGTCGGGACCGTGGTCAGAAAATGCGGAAACTACGCCGAACAAGAAACAACTCGCCCTCTGCCCGGAGCTTTGAGCCGAGAGCTCACGGCTCACGGCCTGAAGTTGGCTTCGGCTTTGAGCTTCGCCGCAAGCTGGAGTTGGTCCTCGGTTAGATCCTCGGCACGCGTTGGCTTCAAGCGGTGAGGCTAGGCGGCTAGGCAAGCCAACTTGGAGAATCCTTTTCATGAGCGAATTCAGACTTGCAATCATCGTGGCGACACACGGACAGCTCTTCGGATGGCAAACTTTGCTGAGGCCGGGTCGTACTGAATGAGAAAATCGTCGATATCCATCGGCGACGAACAAGCCACATGGCATACACCCGGGTGGTGAGGGCTGAAGAGTCGGACTGGGTGGGGACTGGGTGGGGATTTGGAGGTGCCTTCGGGTCCACAGCATGCGGGTCTGCCCTGACAGGAAGCAGGTGGGCTGGACACACGGTTGTGGCACGAAGGTGACTTGAGATGAAGCTGGACCCACAGGTTTCACGAGCAGGTATGCCTCAGACTTGCTGTTCAACCCTCCATGGAGCCAAGCCCCTTCATCAGAACCAACTTTTCTCTACAGCTTTAAAGCAAACAGAACCTGGAATCAGCCATCGAGAAGCGCTGGCTGCCGACTTCTCAACCCTTTTCGCAAAATTTGGATGATCCCCCTGGCAGTCCTGTAACTGTCAAGCAATGTGCAGAACCCTGTGCGTTTTGATCGGATGCCCGCCACGTACACATCTGCACCCACTCACCAGAACTCCACGTCACGAGCAGAGATTGCCTGGAGAAAAGACTGCTTGTGCTAAGCACTGGAACAAGTATTCGGCTCTTTAGTGTCCTTGGGAACGCAGTGTATGCGGCACCAGGTACCAATACCAACCTGGAAGGATTGTCAAAATGACAGCTCCCGCCAGACAGACTTTTGAGACCACGTAGTGGCCGTACCAGCCCGAGGTCATGTGGACAGCAAGGGATTCGAACGCTTTGTCCCAGGCCAAGCCGACGACAATCCCGAAAGCATTGGCAATGCTGTGGGGAACCATTGTGGACTTTGTATCCCCTGAAGGGATGCTACAATAGACAAAGCCTGTTACGACAAACGCTAGCCAGGTCAGCGGGAAGGCCACCACGATGTATGTGTCCATGATGGAACAATGCGGCCTGACAAACAATGCAGCCCCGCGGACGAGACACCAGGCAAGTGCAGAAGAACATGACTCCCGGAGAAGTTCTGCGTCAGGAAGGAAACGAGCCGGGATCCAGGCAGAGCTTGCAGCCACCACAGGGACAAAGGAGCCGAAAACCAGACTCCAGCCCAGGACCTTGCCAGTGAGCACCCAGTCCCAATCTTTCGGCTTCTGCAGGAGGCCCTCCACAGAATGCAAGTATCCCGTGTGAAACAGGAGAATGGTCTGCATCACCAAGAAACCCATCACCAGAGCTGCACCCTCAATAAATATCTCCCTTGCGAAATCGAGCCAAGGGCATTCTCTGCGTACTTTCCAGGCCGCGCAGCTGAGATCACTGCCGTCGCCTTCCGGGAACATTTCTCCATGCGGGGATTCGCAGATTGCATTTGCATTTGGCAAAGACACCTCCACTTTCTGTCGCGGATCCGCAGGGAAGACCACCTCCGACTCAGAGTCCGAAGAGTCCATGGAAATGAAACGAGATTCAAGCTGGCGACTCGTTGCATCGGGAAATTTATGCCACTCATCATCGCCTGCTTGGTACTCCCAATACACTTCCTCGTCCCCAACACACTGTGCACGCAACCGCTCACCGACAAACAGCATACCTCTCAAAAGGATCGCTGTCCATGGTAGAACCTTAGGCGGTACTGCAAATCACAAGCAGTCATCCCAATGAACGAAACTACATCTATCTAGCCAAGGCACGAAACTACGACAGCACACCGAAAAAAATACTGCTGGAAGTGAGCCCAGACACAAGACAACATTTCCATCCATCTTCCCTGACGCTCCACTGCAACCTGCCGATGGCTTGTATTAGAGTGAAGCCAGTCATATGGCTCGATAGCTGGCCCAGCGCGGTATACTCATGCTCCTTCTCCCTGAACCTGTAAATAATCCAGTTGGATCCGAGGAAGCATAGGATGGACAAAATGCCATATATCTTGGCCTGCACAATTGGACCTGCTTTTTGGTTTAATCCAGGGTACTTTCCCATCCACAACTGCTCAATTAACACACCATGCACAGCCACCGTAACAGTATTCGTAGCGAAAATGGAAACGGTGGTGCACGTCAGCTCGTACACTGCATTTTGCATGTGCTTGTTCTGCGAATGTGCGAAATACAGCAGGGCCATCATCGTCAACACGAAGAAAAACATTACCAAGCTCAAGATCCATTCACGCCCGACAATGCCCTTGCCATGCTCCATCTCCTGCAGCTTTTCCTCAAGCTTTGCCAACTCATAATCGACATGCGATTCATTCATGCAGAATTCCACGAAATCTCCGCAACAGTTACCGAAGTTGTTGCATTGAGACGTGCACTGGCATGGATTGTCCGAGCAGTAACCATGACAGCCGCCAAACAGATGACACGATGCTTGCGAACGATTGAGACCTTTCAAGCGGTCACACTGGCCTTCTCTCTTGTGAGTTGTTGCCTCTTCTGTCGGCGTCAATACAACGAACACAAACCATCCCAAGATCAGAAGTCCAATGGAAAGTCCAGCACCGAGTTTGGAATACAAGCCGCGCATGGCATCAAGAGTGCACGCTTGTGGGTTTCATCCGACAGAGAGGTCCCAGCACACCCCCACACACACACACACACATACACACACGCTCTGCTTTCAAGAACTGCTTACTGCGTGGAATGACGTCTTCTGAATCTGCTCTGACCCATTGGCTTGGACTCACATGCGCACTAGCTGCAACAGTCACAACAAGAACATTGTGGCCAAACGTCCATCCAATCTCATGAAACCACAAAGATGCGTTGCAACACTAGACTCCAGATGTGAGGCAAGAAAAATGTTATGTGTCAAGAAAGGAATCAGTAAAGTCAATGGTTTTGACAATATCAATGCTAGATCCATAATGAAGCGTTTCCAACAACGGAAAACGAAAATTCCAGCAACAGCGAACATTTTCGAAGCCTTCTAATGGTACTGTTCCAGCGTCAAGATTGTTCCATTGCAAGTCAATTTCCCAAATAGTTTGTTTCCAAGAACGTCAACGGCACCCGTCTGTTGACTTCAAGGTGGATCGTCAACCTTTCCTCGGGCAAGGAAGAACGCTCGGATCTCAGGGCTTTGGAGGAAACGGATCTAAAGAAGAGCCGAGCTTGAGCTTGCACCTCTTTGAATAGCTTTCAAGCTGTGACATGGTCTTCTCAAAGGATCTCAGTTTGCTATCTTGACAACGAGGGGCCGCGTCACTCTTGCATCAGATGTTGCGCAAGATTCTAGATCTTGAGACTTTCTCTGGAGTGCATGTGTGCCCACATCTTCTAACATCGCGGATGGGCCGTCGCATCGGTCCATTTTTCAGGGAGGACTGCGTTGGCTATAG